TTGTCTATAAGCTTTTAGATGTTTATATCTGTATTTATTTTTGGTAGAGGAGTCTTGCATGAGGTGAAGAAATGGAGATGATTGCAATGCAGTTCATTGCTTATTGTTCTCTGGTTAACTGTTCCTGCTGCTTTCAGGTCGTCCTGCAACTCCATTCACGTGACTGCTGGCTTCTCTCTTACCTTCTTTATCCATTAGCCTGAAAGTGTGTAGTGAAATCTTGCTTGGCACACCTGTCCGGGGACGTCTAGTTGTACTTCCATAAACTTTTCACCAGCATATTATCAAAACAATTTCCATTCGAGTATTGTTTAATAATGTTCCTGAGAAGTTTAGGAAGCTCCTTCAACTTCACCATGATTCCTGCTTGTTGTGTGAAATCTTCCCGACCATTGGAACGTCTTTGCACGAGAACATTTTTACGGAAAGTATATCTAGAATTTCATTTATTTTTATGTTAATTTTAAATAAACTTTTTTTTTGTTCATATTTATATTTAAGCACAATGCCAAAAGACATTATGTGTGTAAAGTGGATATATACACTGGAAGTATATTAAATAACAAAAACAGAGGTGTCTGAATATTTATTTACCGTATATTTATTTTCTCTCCAGTGTTCAGAGAATAAGTTCCTTCAAAAGTTCACACTTCATTGTTGCCACACCAACAACTAGTTATACTAATGTCCATAATGTTTAAGGAGTACTTAATTCTGATTATCAGAATCTGGTCCAGTGACCAATCTGTGTTAATGCTACTGTGCTGTACAGATTATAACAGAAAGCACAATACAGATACATCAATTCATTGTATATCAACTATGGTAGAGTGATAGTTAAGTATAGTATAATATATTATAGTATAGTATTAGTTATATACATACAGTAAGTACACTTTAATACACCCACAAATGTACACACACTAACACACACTCAGTTAACAAGGTCCATTACACTTTGCTCCCCGAGGCAAGCAAAAACCTCATTTAGGCAGGTCTGTTGAGCCAAGACAGGAAGCTCTCCCCCCCTCCCGTAACTGGATTAAAGCAGGCTAGCGGATGAGCCCTAGGACAGGACACAGGGGTCCCGGCACTCTAGACCCAACCGCTCCGGTCCAGAACACAGAGACACAGGGATCGGGGATCAGAGAGAGAGAGAGAGAGAGGGAGAGAGAGAGAGAGAATAAAAGAGGGATTGGGTGTAGAGGGGGACTTCCAACTGTAAAATCAAAATGTTTTTCAAAGCCATGGACGTGAGCCAATTTTTGTGATTTTCCCCCACCACGTGTGTGTGTGTGTGCGCGCACGGATGGGTGGACAGGCCCAAGTACAGGCAGGTAGTGTGTAAATGATGTTCCGGAGCTGTAGAGTTCAAGCTATCAGAGCTTCATCTCTCTCTTGGAGCCACCGAGTCTGATTCGCACTCTTATTTATACCAATAAGCACATAAAGCTGGAGGCCTCACTTTCTGAGGCCTGCTATCAATCATACAGCAAGCTCTGTCCTGACAGTACAGCACACACGTGCACACACACACACAGAATAAACTGAAGCTAAATCATAGCATCCGCTTGGACACCATCACACACACAAAAGGCAGGCATTACAGTATTAAAGAATAACACACACAAGCTGATTGTTTTTAGCCACATGTTCTTACAAGCACTTTGATTTCTTTATAGGAAAATGTAGGTTATAAAATAAAGGGTTTTTTTGGCAATTCTTCAAAAATTTGTCTTTTCTCCTTTTTTCCATTTCAATTTTTATGGATTTTCACTATAACTAAACTAGCACTATGTAGCTTAACATGCAAGCTATGCTAAGTGTAGCATATAGAGCTAACTGAGCATTCTTATTTCACATGTGATTATGTTAGTCATATATGATCACATGAATTATATGGCAATAAAATCACATGTGAAAAATTATTAGTGTAAAGAATGAATCATGTCTAAATAAAATAACAAAAATGAATAAATCATGTGTAAAAGTTTACGTGTGGAATTGTATACAAAATGAATCGTGTAAAAAAAAATTCAGATGTGAAAAATGAAACATATTTAAATGAATCACATGTGAAAGTAAATGAATCATGTGTAAAGAATCACATGGAAAAAAATGTCTAAAAATAAATCATATGTAAAATAAAATCTCATAAAAAAGAATCAAGTGTATAAGATGAATCATATGTAAATAAAATCAAATATGAAAATGAATTGTGTAAAAATGAATCTTTTTTTAATCTCATGTGAATATAAATGAATCATGTGAAAAAAACTGAATCGTGTGTAAATAAAAATTACATGTTAAAGTAGATTAATCATATGTAAACAAAAAAAAATCACGTGAAAATGAATCATGTAAAAATGAATCATATGTGAAAAAAATCAGATGTGAAAATAAAATTAATCATGTGTAAACAATGAATCATTCAAAAAAATCATGTAAAAATAAATGAATCAAGATTTAAAAAAACAAATCATGTGTAAATAAAATCACAAAAATAAATGAATCATGTATAAACAATCACGTGAAAAATGAATCATGTAAAAATGAATCATGTACAAAATGTGAATAAAATCAGATGTGAAAATGAAAGAATCATGTGTATACAATGAATCATGTAAATAAAATCATATGTAAATAAATGAATCATGTGTAAACAATCATAAATGAGTCATGTGTTAAAAAAAGAATCCTCTGTAAATAAAATTACATGTGAAAATGAAAGAATCTTGTGAAAAAAAATCATGTACAAATAAATGAATCTTGTGAAACAATCATGTGAAGTGTGTTAAAACCACATGTGCTTCTAAAATTCATGAGTGTCATGTGATCATTCACATGTGATGTTCTGTAAGTGATGGCTATGCAGCTAGCCAAAACAAGCTTGAGTTAATAAAGGCTCAATTTTGTGTCATTTACTTTATGGATGTTTTTGACTGACTTTTGTGAATCACTTTGTGATTTCCCTGCTAGTATTCCCAAGCAACTATCTAACTAACTAGCTCAAAAGCTTTAGAACATCTTGTAATAATCTCTCCCCGATCGCCAAATTATGTCATGTCGCAGTCCTGGGAAAAGTGTTGTGCATGTTCACAGGCTACAGGTTCATCGTTTGACCCTCGTTTTGAAAGAACACAGGGAATTACATCGTTACAAATTAAAAGAAAATGCTCGTGTACACACACACACACACACACACATACACACAGACACACACACCTTGTTAATCTGTGTCCCAGGCACACGGCCCTGATCACAGGAGACTTTAATAGCATGATTGCTCGAACAGCGCAGAGGCTAAATTGTGCCGCATTGAAGGCTTTCACGGTTGAACGAGTTTATCACTATACGCAGCGATAAGGAGCCTGAGAGACAGAGGACGCGGCGAGACACAGCAAAGCTCACGACCGTCGACAGACAGAAAGACGGAGAGGAATGAGGGGAATAAAAGATGAGAGTAGGAAACGGATTAAAGGCCAGAGACTGAGTGATGGAGTCAGAGAAAGAGAGAGAGGAAGGAAACCGATCAGAGTTCAGCGCTAACTATATCTGTGTTTGATATTTGCAAGAGCGGTGACTCGTGACAAAAAAATGAAGCAGTTCCATCTTCTCTTCTCCCTTTATCTTTAAATTCATCTCGCCATCCTTCATGTAGCAGAATGCACAGATCTTCTTCCTCTATTTCTTGCTTAGCTTCTTCTTTTTTCACTCACCATTTCCTAGTGTAATATTAATAAGAAATCCAATGTAGAAGTAGTGGAGCCGTTGATGCAAATGTTGGACTGAAAGTCCCAGAATGCAATGCAGCTCTACTCTGAGTTATGGCAGATACTTGACTTTTCATTTGTAATCTACAAGAAGACGAGTACGATGGTGTTGCCAGCTGATCTGTTTGAAAAGATGAGGAGGTGAGACACTAGACTAAAGGACTAAAGCGCCGCTGCATCGCTTTCTTTAGGTAGAGACGAAGCAAGGGCTAAATCCCACTCGACTTACCTCAGAAGTGGAAAGTCTGAACTCTGAATTACATCATTTTTAAGGCTTCATTCGTTCCAGCTACAAAAAAACATGGGGGAAAAACATGAACGCCTTCCATGTTCTTCTTTTGTTAGCAACAATCTAACCAGCTAACTAAATATTTACCTCCTCAAAACTGTGTATTCAGTGATACAGATTTAACAAGCTAATATGTCTGTATGTTCTGTATGTTGATTGATCTAAAGCAAATACTTCTATATATAGCATAACTCATTTAAAAGTAAAGAAGTGCCGCTTTGTTTACTGTTGATGCCGTGATTTTACGTCACTGACTGAACTCAGGGTTGAGGAGACAGTCCCGAGTTTCTCAGTAGGAATTCTGAGTTGAGCGGGTGTTTTCTTTGGTTTTATTCCAATGCAACAATAGTGCATGGAGCAGCGTGACAACAAAAAAAGTGAGGTGGCTCACTTGACATGGCCTGAAGGAAGCACATGTTAGCCTTCAGCCTCCTGGCCTGGTGGCTGTCATGTGATGGAGAAGAATCAGCTACCGATTGGGGACTGTCTAAGACTGAGTGAAAATAAATGGAGGAGGTAAATCAGCTCAGCTAGACATGAAAACCAGTCACTAAGAAATGTCATGGCTGAATTCACTTACTTATGTGAAATAAACATATCTCTATAATAAATCATGAAATCACCATGAGATATAAATAAGGCCAGGGCTGTCCCAAAGTATAACATGGGGTCTAGGAGTATGCTTCCTGCTAAAGGTGCAAAAATGTACTCTACATACATTACAGAATGTTATAGTCTAGTTTTGTTTTTGTCTCTTTAGTGTTACATAAATGTTACCTTTAATATAATTCATATGGATGGTCCTATGAACCCCTTATACTCCCAGGAACTGCTGATGTGCCTAGAATTAGTTACTAAATAAATATGGTTTAAAATTAATTAGCAAATAATGATGTCAGATTTTAAGGGGTTAATGTGAAGCTTCTTTTTTTTTCTCAGGCAGTGGTGGCTTAATGGTAAAGGCTCTGGGTTACTGATCAGAAGATCAGGGGTTGAAGCCCCAGCACTGCCAAGCTGCCATTGCTGGGCCCTTGAGCAAGGCCCTTAACCCTTCACTGCATTTCACTGGCTCTGTACTCATACTCTGCACAATGACAGTAAAGTTGAATCTAAGCTCAGACTTTATGGTTTTACGGGGTTTAAAAAAGTAATAAGTACTAAATAATAAATTTTAAAATAAATAAGTGATTAATAAGCTTAGACTTTAAGGGTTAAATATTAATGTTTAAAATAACCCTAAATAATATATTTTAAAATAAGTGACTAATAGACTCAGACTTTAAGGGAGTTAAAAGTTTATTTTTAAGCAGTAAATAATATATTTTTAAATAAATATGTGACCAATAAAGCTGAGACTTAGCTCAAAAGGGGTTAAACCATATTATGATTTCTTTGATAGGAGAAAACAATGCTTACAATCCTGAAAGAACAGTGTATTACCAAAAAAAAAAAATTATATACAGCAAAGTACTGAAATTCTGCATGTCACACTCCAAAACTGATATCTGCTGAAGCTGATTAATTTCAAGCTTGAAACACTCAAGTTCTTTTGTCAGATAAACTTTGCTTATTTGAAGCATTTATTTCTGCAAAGAGCAACATTATTTGCCAATAATGACCAGACAATTTCAAGCCTGAAATTAGTCAAAATAAATCTAAAATCTTAATAATCTTATATTTGTTTCAGCATAATCTCATAATGACAAATATCAGATAAATCTGACTCTATTCGAGAGATTTTCACTTGCTAATAAAGAAGCTTCTGTTTCACTCCCGAGAAACACTGCATTACTGAGGCTTCTTCTGTGCTGATAAACAGATCGGTGATCAACAGGTCGGCCTACGGCGTGTAAATACACACAAGTGACGTGAAACACGCACAGTAACCCTGCGCTCTTCTGCTTCTGCCTTGTTAAACAAGCTGCTTTTCTGCTTTCTATACAGACTTTGTTTCTTTTCTGCTGAGGTGCCATCTTTCTACACACACTCTTCTTTTTCCCTTGCCTCGGGAATTCTGTCTGGGGCCCGAAGGTGTGACCGTCCTATTTGAGGCCTTCCAGATCACACACAGCCACGAGTCTTCAGTCGGAGAATTTCTCTTAAAAAAAATAGTGATGAACAAATACGTCATTGTGTGATGGAAACATAACAGAACTGTTATGCAATCGAGAGAATTCCTATTTGTTATTGATCACCTGGTCAGTTTGAGGTGATTGCTATTATTGCTTTCATTGCACCCATAAATCCTCACAATTGTGTGTCTGTGTGTGTGTGAGCTGAAAGTAAAAAAGACAGATTGTGTTATTGGCATGTAAGCACCACTATTGGTGCGTTTAAACGAGTTTTAAATGTACACAGTGCCACATAGAGCTTGGCAACGAACTGCAGAGAAATGGCGCAGAGGGACATTTTACCGTTACTGCAATTCCCTAAAGAGAGACGGGGAGCAGGGGGGGTCGCGAGGCAAAGGCCAAAAGGTCAAGAGAGAAAGGGGAAGATGAAGAGATTGTAGGATTGAGAGAAAAGAAGGAAAGCGGCAGAAAGAATGGCGAGGTGGGCGAGTGTGTGTTTGTGTGGCAGTCACACCGTCCCCTCAGGCTTTGTGTTGATGAAGATGGACGCACAGCAGGAATGAGTTGGGCTAAGGGTAATTGTGTTAGTATTTCTGGCTCAGCCAATAAGCATCAATAGATCAATCTCAGTTGCTACCTGTTTAGACTGAAGCTAACAGGCAGAGCTGATCTGAGCTAAAGTAGCGTGTGTGTGTGTGTACACGCATGTACATGTCCTGAGTATTTCCACTAGAAGACAATCTGGATAGAGATGCAAGACGAAGGGATAAAGGATTAAGACAGAAATAAAGATGGACAGGAACATAAATAGAGAGAAAGAGAAAGAGAATCAGACAGGTGGATGGATGAAAAGAGCAAGATAGACAGATAGAAAGGAAAATAACCTAAACAGGAGCGGTAAATGACAGACAGGGCAGGGACTTTGATAACCTTGTCGGCTAAAAGCTTCCTCTCTCTCCTCTGGCTTAATCAAACCCCCCAATTACATTGACAAGGCTTTCTCCTGTCCCTGCATCTGATGTCCCCTCGATAAACGCAATTATTAATTAACCGGCACAATTAAATCTGTCTGTGATGGACAGGACACGGGGCGATTGGAGCCAAAATACCTGACTAATTCAATCTGTTACAGTGATTCAGCATACACACACACCCACACACACCCACACACACCAGTCTCTCTGTATTTTTTTCTGTCTTGCCCACACAGACCACAACATTAGACACTGGACATGTCTAGTCTTCCACCACCAGTGTTGAATTCTCAATTCTGATTGGTCAGAAAGTATTGATTAATGTTGCATAACAGCAGTTATGACCGTAGTTTTGGCCTCAAGGTTTATATTAATGCTCTCTTTCTAATACATTATTATTTCTACAGCAACACCTAATTTATAGGAACTTTAAAAAAAAATGTTATTTATGTGGTATTGTTGATACGGTCACTTTTCTGTGAGGAGATGTTTATTTAACATTTTGAAAGGAGTCTCCAGTATCAGAGCTTTGCATCAGTTAAAAGTAAAGCTATAATCAAGTTTTCTGCCACTGGAAGATCTTCAGGATGGAGGACTTTGCACTTTTTCCAGTTTCTCTGTAACACAAGCTGCCTTTTTTCTCTTATTAACTTAAAGAGAAGCTGGTGAGGGAACAACTGTTTATAGCTGCTATAACATAAGTGATGACAGGAACTCATTTGTTTCATGGACATGTGGTGTATAAACCTTCAGGTTGTGCTATTATAGGAAGATAATCAAATTTGGAGTGGTAACAGTAACTCCTTTTTATCACACCATGTTCTTGATTAGTTTTCTATAACAGCATGGCACCAATTATGACTCACTGCAACCAATTGGATGTTTATATTCTAGTTTGTACTGTTTTTTGTGTTAAAAAAAATGTTGAAATGTTGGACTACTGATCGGAAGGTCATAAGTTCAAATCCCAGCACTGCCAAGCTGCCACTGCTGGGCCCTTGAGCGAGCCCCTTAACCCTCAAGTGCTCGTTGTATAAAAATGGGATAAATGTAAGTTGCTCTGGATAAGGGCATCTGCCAATTGCCATAAATGTAATCTTGATGCAAATACATATGGTGCATCATGAAACTGGCATCATCAAGCATTGTCATATGATATTTTTGCCATATTGCCCAATCCCTATAAAAAACAAATTCAAATTGTATTTCACAAGCAATATTACATGATATATTACATACAAGATATGAAAAGCACAAGGTACTATATAACAAAGCTCTGAAGTATTTGAGACAATATCAGTTGTCTTAAAATCACCAAAGATCTTGCTTAAAAAATAACATTTGTAGTGAAGTGCCTACAATCCTGGGAAATGCAAATTAGCACATGATGAATATGCAAATTAGGAACGCCCCCAAACCTCCCACATGCCCCTTCCCCAAACAGTGGACAAGAAACATGTTGCATGACCTGCTTGTACATATTGGAACATACTGGACGTTTATATCTAATCACACAATACTGCTTGCTTGTTACATGATTAATACTGACTCATTGGCTTTTCAGCTCCACCATTTTTATTTTTTATTTTTTTGGAAAAAAAGAATACGGCAAACTATCTACAGTGACAATTTTCACACAAGTGTGCAAACTTCTCCTGAATGGATATAATCATAAAAACGTGAAAACTGTTAACACTTTATTAGGAATGTATGTATTAAAAATTTTTTGCATTTTTGATAAATGATAAAATAGTTATGTCTTATGGCACACAGAAATATCAGTATATGTTTTTGCTCCTTGCATACACACCTCACACACAGACTTGACAAGTTTGGGAGGGGATTATTCATTCTTCCTTACTAAAATGTAGCAAATAAAAGAGGTTTAACCCCATCATTAGTGATACAAGAGGTTTAACCTGTGTGTATGTGTGTGTGTATGTGTGTGTGTGTGTGTGTGTTAGTTTGGGAATGTTGTTGTTATGCATTGGCTTGGCTTGGCTGGAGGCTGGTGGTCTTGGGGGGATTCTGTGTGTGGCTTGTATGTGTTTGTCTGTTACAATAGGTGGAGGTTCTGAGGAATCAGATAAGGCCTCGTCCCATATCGGAGCCATATTCACACGTTTTGTGCTCCAATAAGAGTAATGAGCTTGGTGGACACTGAGGGTCAAGGGTGTGTGAACGCAGTCATGAGGATGCTCTCAAATCAGAATCACGGCTCAACGGTTCAATAGAAATTACCTTTGCATCACAAGAGGACTCTTGGGAATTTCATCAGCGCAATTCTTTACATACAGACTTACAACCAGTTGCTTTAGGAACGATTTGGGAACGATTTTTGATCTCTTGGGAATTCGAAGGTGATGGCTATCAGGTTGGGAGCGAACAGTGGGAATGGGACACACCGGATCGGTCCATTCCCACACTGATGAGCCAATGATCTACTGAGCACTGTGGGGACTCGGATCAGATGGTAAATTAAAGGAGTGATTAGCACAATACAGCATGAGCATACTGTCTGTCTCTTTAGATTCATCATCATTCATTCATTTATTCATTCATCTACACATTTTATTTTCATGCAAGTTGCTGCAGCTTTGTAAAATGACATTATTATAATGCAGAGCACTATATGGAATCCACAGAGCTTTCAAAGTGACTCTGGACATGTTTAGGATCTGAATCTAAATGTCACATGGTGTCTAAGATTTGTGGAATTATCATCTTTAACCGCTGTCTTTTTTTGTTGCAAATCGCCTCCTTTTCATTTGGCTTGAAATCAAAATGTACTCCACAGCAGTAATGTATTGTGTTTGGCTTTGCAGCCAGGCCTAAATAAATGTTATTCGCTTCATCCGTCGCTCAGAAAAATGATGTGGTCATTAGCAAAGGTGCGTTAACTAACATGGTTTGTTAATTAACACAAACACATGGATTTTATTTGTAGAGTTTATTGTAAAGGCCAT